CAAAAAAAAAAAAAAAAAAAAAAAAAAAAAAACAGAGACCAAGTCATTGCCAGAAGGATTCAAAAATCTGATGGGATCAGTGCGCGTTTGAGGCCTCAAGAGTTCACAGCTCGAAATTCTTTATTCACTCAAGTACCACACACACCATTTTTAATCTCAAAATTAAAAGAAAAAAGACGGATGCGCATCATAAGGAGAACTACAATGTCAAAAAAATGCTAAAATTGCAGGTGAATATCGTAGACTTGAACACACTGAAACTTTTTTGAAAGGGACTTCGTAAAACCAAAACAATTGAAAATTGATTGAATTCACATTGAATTCACAACCAACTTTAAACTCTGGTGTCTCTAACTTTTTGGAAGGAAATTGCAAAGTTTCTCCCACTAAAAATGGGGCGCGCGTCTTCCTCAAAGGCGAGTGTCATTGATGTATTAGTATCATTATTACTGGGATTCTTGGACAGCGAAAGTTAAGAAAATCTGAACATTTCGACAATGGTAAGCTGCATGCCGAAGGAAACCAAACCAAACGTTCAACTGCCTTCCCTTCAGAAACAAATGAAAACGAACGTTTCCACAAGCTAGACTTTCGTGTACTAAAATTCAGAAGGAAAAAAAAACTTTCGGGCAATTTCAAGTTGTGGAATTAGAAAATGGAAGGAAAAAATAAAATACCGTAGTCTAAGACATGGCCACAAATGTTTATAAGACCAATTTTTAAGAAGCGTTGTAAAGAACATGTATGACGTAGGTATTTCGAAACCTTTTTCTAATTGAATAGTTTTAGCGTAAACATTTGAGCATGAATGCGTGCTGACTGCTGAAAAAGTCAATGTACAGTACACTCAACAGAGACATCAAGGCCAAAAAACCAAACAGAGAACATGAAAAAACACATAGAAGCGCTGAGCCACGTCAATTTAAAGGCCACCACCTTAGAATTCAGATCAAGGTGGGAAATCTGAGATTCAGCTGAAAACTTAATGAAGAACATAATCGAAGTGACTATATCGACTTAAAAAAAAGCATGAACACTTTTGCAGGTTAATTTCTTATTCAAATTAATTCATTTTGAAAGTACACTCCGAAACTCATGCACTGCCTGTCAACGCCCTCCGCTAATATATCTTGTGGTATATCTTGTAAGATCTCGGCGAAGTAAAGGGAGAAGTTATCAAACGATTTCCGTTATCTCGAAATCTTGAAACATTTGAAGTTTTATTTCATGTTTAGAAGCGCCTGCATCAGATTTGAGATGAAAAAAAGGGCTCAAGTCAGCGCTTCGAGGAATGCTTCAGTTCCTGTGATTAACCGGAGAAACGTGTTCCCATTCGTAGAGAATACGGCGAAGAAGGTTGAAAAAATAAATGCCGGTACAGTACTAACATTCATCAACGTGCAGTAAATACTGTATTACTGTATTTTGAATTGACGAGCAAAAATCAGAAGCCCTTTCTGCTTTCACTTATACTGTATGTGTTGTACATACAACTACAATACAGTCCAATAATAATCACGTCCACCATTTCCGTGAAATGGAACTTTTACATAAGCATGAAACGAGGGACTTCGGAGAAAAATCATCGCCCAAAAGCTGAGGGATAAAGGGAAAAAAAATTTTCTTGAACGCCGACTTACGAAGTTGTACGGAGATTACTAGACTTCCAAATTATACAGTATTCCTAAAACAGTAAATGAAAAATAATTTAAGATTCTCCTTACAGCATCCAAGCTGTTGATCAGGTCCATGGAAACGTTGTCCTCCATCGGGATCGGCAAACTCCGAGTCGACGACTTCCTGAAATACTTGAAGGCGTCCAACAGGGTTCCAGGAGACATGGACGGCTCGGCGCCAGTGACCATCACCGCCACGGTGACGACGACAATCAAACCTGTACAAGACAGCATTTTACAGTACACAAATTTAGGAATTTACAGTACAGCGGACCCTTGATTAACATAAAGTACTTTTTTGTTAGCAAATCTTTGGGTCCAGGAAAAATCCCTCGGTTAACAACGAAAAAGTAATTGGTTATTTTTTTCTGGAGAAAATGCCAAATTTGAGAATTAAAAATTTGATTTTGAGGCTGACATGTATGGTACGATCTATAAGTGCAAATAATTCACCGACGCACTGCTATGAAAATTCATTTTTCCTGGCACTTTAATATGTGTAAAATTGTATATTGAAATACAGTTTGTTTCAGTTACATTATTCATATGCTTTTCTGTGACAGAATTATGTGTTTCCTGTAATTTATTTTTCTGGCTGTTCAAAAATTTGAAAAGTACATTTGATCTGTACTTGCAGAATCAGAAAAATAAGTTTCATTTTCACCTGACGAATATGCTTCCGTAGTGCATGTTTCTCTGGCTTTCCATCTTTGTTTTGATCAATGCTACTTCAATATAATACTGTACAGTAAGAACATCCTGGACACATACCAGATGCATCAAAAAATTATTCTGATTATATTTTATGGTCTTAAGTTTTTTTTAGATTAAATTTTAAATTGTCTTTTTGGTTCCTGGAACGCATTAAATTCTTCCTCATTGAAGTCTACAAGAAAATGAAATTTGGTTGCCAAGATTTTGTTTGAAACCAATTTTTCCACACCGCGCTCTTTTTTGGAGAACAAACTGACGCATGGGATGGAATAGTAACCCAAATACGCACTGAAAAAAAAAATGAGCGAAGCGCACACGATCCAAAAAGGGGGGAAAAAACTAGGCGATAAAAATTCCAAATTGGTCCTCCAAGCAGGTATATTGCAGCGAAAACAAAATTTTCGTGGAGCATTAAACCCAGCGCACAAGTTTCGACGTGTGGAACGGTAAGGTATTGGGATTCCGAGTTGGTGCGATTTTGGGATTGAGTAATATACGCATATTTGACCTTGTTCTTGAACTCGTCTACATGGAACTTCTGCGGATGGATTCGAAGCGAATATGAGCCCACTTTCTCGGTAGCCCGACTCGTTCATGCTGAATATATATATTGAGAATTATTTTCTTCTCTATCCGATTCTGTCGCTCGTTTGGATAAAGCGATCACCAAGAAAGCAATAGCAATCTAAAATAGTGTGTGAGCTTCGACCAACAATCTGTGTTTTTTTCATCACAGATGGAAACAATCACATGCATTATGGAAATTTAAAAATTTTAAATTCGCAAGTGCAGACAAAAACCCATGCAAGCATTCCAATTAATAACCAAATATCAAACATGGAATTAAAAAAAAAAAGAGCTAAAGCTTTTTAACGCATGATCAGAACTTTTTGCAGAACTTCAGACAATAAATCTTAAAGTACAATAAATGAGAGAAAGCTTTTGGCAAATTCTTCTTTTGTTTGAGTTTTTTCGACGTGACAATACAGCCCAGCAAATAATTTGTCATAGGAAGGGCTGGGTGTAACTGCTACGCATTACGTAATGCATTTGTTATGCATAACTGTTACACCCAGCTTCGTCTGTTATGCCTTCTTTTTTTCTGTGGTGTACTGCATTCTTCTGCAACGGGTTGGGAATGCGCTTTTAATTTTTTCTGTAGCTGCGCCCATACTTGGAAATGTTTTGATGAACTTTTCTCGAGTGTAGCAGGCAAGCGTTTCAAAATGCCTGCCTGCTACACTTGAACATTTTAATTACTTCAGATTTTCCTGGGTGTAGTTACGAAATCCCTTCAATATAATCATCACTCCGAAGAAATTTCCATATTATGTCCTCATACGCAGTTGCTCATTCAAATATATTATGGTTACAGTATATTCAAAAAACTTCTTGTCCAATGCAACACACATCACGGTGCTTTTTGGCTCACCATGAGGATTTCAGTATTTTGAAGCAATTGACAATGAGTCTCATATTCGGTAGTATATATTTTTCTACTGAAAAGTGACTTAATAATTAGCAGGGACATAACAATTTTGCCTCTTCGTTGATTCGGAAAAGCGACGGACATCGACACATTCTTCAGCCAAACCGTCTTAATTTCCTATGCCAAGTTTGCACGCACAGATTATTATTTCACAGGAGACCACAGATTGCTTCCCAACGTTTTCAAATATTGCATACGGCAAAAAGTACGCAAAAAAGAAAAGGGGAGAAGCTTTACCTGCATAAATGGGCGTCCCAGACATCTCGAAAGAATAGACGAGGCTTCTTCCACTTAATTTCCGACGAAACAAGCGAGGAAAGGGAAATCGCAGGTCCCCGGTGCTGACGAATCCTTTATTGTGCTACGACGGGGTTACGTCACTTGTTGGGCCTCTCTTCCCCGGCGGAAGTGTCGAAAATCACACACGAGACGAAAGCTCACCACAGGCAAACAAATTTGTACACCAAAGCGAATGTGGGGACAGTGGAAGACTGACACTTCGGCAAGGCTCGAAGTCACTGGACGCCCCACGCGCCAACATGGAATAAAAACAGGAAGAGAAAAATAAAAAATCAGAAATTCTTCAGCAGCCTTTTGCACTCTCGCGAAACCCGAATTCTTTCTTGTCCTTGAATTGCCCCTGATTGAATTTCATGCGTCTGATGAAATTATTTCTGTGTCGCCAGGTCAAATAATCTTCTAAAGTCGAACACTCACTCAACTGCTTTTCAAAAAAGTTTCGTTTACTGAAGCTGTAAGTAAAAAATGGGTTAAAAAAACACGTGACCCGAACAGCCCTAATCGTTCTCGGAGATATTTTCGGATTCTCCGGAAAACTGTTTGATGCAGAAGGTCAGAGATATAGAAACATATACTGTGTACATTATTCTAATTTTCAATTTCCTCTTGCTTCTCTGTCATTCAGAAAAAAGCTCCGCGATGCTTTGAAATCAACCCGAAGTGATTTAACTTCACCCTTTCAAATTTATTCGTCCATCTAAATGAGATAACAACTGATCCCCTCAGATTTTTCGGAATGCTCCGCCAATTGGGAAAATCTAAAATAAAAATTGTCTGGGCAAATTCATGACCACTTTAAATCACGCTATGCACTTTCATAATGTTTTTCAATAACGACGACAAAATAATCATAAAACTAAACGGACACACAATTTTTCGCATCGTAAATCCAAAGAATTTCGTCTATAAACGCCATAGAAAAATGAAAACACACAATGGGAACGAACGTTTTTTTCTTCTGATGAATAAAACAAGATTGGTGAAAATAACCCTTTCTCAGATGCTGAAATTTGAATACCAATATCGCGATAGAAAGGAAACAACGATCCATGCACCAAATCAACTTCCTAAAAAATTCAGAGTACGAATGCTTGAATATTGGAAACAATAAGTTGGAGAATATCTGATCAACTGAAACGCTCTTTTCCCGGCTCATGAAAAATCTAATCTCTCAACTTGATTTGCACAGCTTCCTAAATTTAGAAGAAAAAGATATGGTTTCACTCTCAGGACTAATTTTAAAATGCGTACTTTTCATCAAAAGCTTTCTTGTCCTTGTTAGTTACCTCTCAGTTTCAGATTTCTCCATATGGTAAACTTTCTGAATATCAACGGTCTATTGCGTTCGCATGAAAATGCAATTTTATGAGCATTAGAGATTGATAAATTCGAACTCGTCTATGATAAAATCTCGCAAAAAGAATAAATCCTTGCGGACGTTACATTCGGTACATCCCAATAGACACAGAGTTCGAGTAAATTTCCAGATCCTACGACGGATTCTCAGTTGCGATTACCAAGCCCACAGTCAGCGGTTTACATTTGAAAGTTTCAAAATAGGAAAATAACCGCGACCGAAAAAGTAAGGAATGCATAATTTCCAATACAGTACTGTACTTTTTTTTTTTTACCGGCAAGCACTCAAGAATATCCCGAACAAGTTCCACGCGATAATCCAGCCTCAAGCGAAAAACCATATTTCAACAAATAAAAAGCCGAAATCATGCCTCAGCAATGAAGATACAGTACAGTAGAGTACACTGTAACGCTTCTCCCTCCACCGCGGTCTGCCAGACACTGCCCGCTCATCTCGCATCTCGGCTCATTAAGTACATTCCTCGACTGGCCTACCCCTGAGACGCAGAACAAACTCGATCCCCGGAAGAAGGAGAGAGAAAAAAAAAGAGAAAAGAAACACACAAAGGAGAGAGAAAGAAAGAAAAAAATATATATCCACTCACAGTAGGACCAAATTCAATGAAGATAAGCCACGTGTCTCTGCTGTGGGATCATGTGATGGTCAGCAGATCGGTCTCCAAGAAAACGAGAAACCGATCTCTTCAAAAAGACCAAGAAGAAATAGAACGGAAGCAAGTCATGAGGAATTCTAGGATTTTCTTAAACCTAAGAACCGCCACTTCTTCAAACGTTCGTATACACGTGGAAACATTCCAATAAAAATCAATCCTGCAGTGCGACACCTACACGATCAAATGTTTTTCATCTCGCCGAAGTCGCTCGAAACCAAGACCAGAAGTTTCAATGCCATTAAAGCACTTAAAATATTTGCTGACAATTAAATACAGTGAGACTCCCACATGCGGACACCTTGACTTATGGACAATTCGACATAGGGACACTTAATTTATCATAAAAAATTAATAAAAAAGGCGCAACATGAGGACACTGACTCGACATAGGGACATTTTGTTATAAAATTGCAAATACATTTCCGGCCAAATTACAAGAAACAGATATTTCCGACCCTAAAATTGATGTAAGAAAAGTTCTAGGGCATTTCTCTCACCAATTTACCATCCATTTAGCTAATTTAAAAAAATTACCTCCAGCAGAGAGGGACTTCCTTTTCTCTTTTTCACTTGGATATTATTTTTACAGAGAATGCCAATATTCCTAGGTACTGTACAGAGGTATCAGTATTCAATTCCCCAAATGCCCATATTGTGTTGAAATAAATTGATTGGAATCATTTTAAATTGGGAGACAATTTTTATTTTTATGGAAATATGGTGAATATTTTGATATTAAAAAACCATTAAAAATTATATAATGTAAGTCTAAGGGAAAATGAGACTCGACTTAGGGACACTCTTGATGCACCAATTATGTCCGCATCTTGGGGTCTCACTAGTACATTAGGTAATCAAGAAGCAAATGCCCTAAACTACGAACTTATCACATAACCATCCTTAATGCGGTCGTCATTTTGCTTTATGCAACGAACTTGGCTTCGAGGCACAAACCTCAAGTCAAAGGAAAAAAATCTTCACAAAAAATGCAATGCAAATACAGTATATGAAAAACATTTAAACAAATCAAGGTTTCATCCTTATAGAAGAATTCCGAGGGAAATTTACAGACAAATTCAAATTCAGAGTAGAGTATACGTTAATTTCTTTTCTGTTCCCACTTGGCACGCTTGAAATCATTTTTAAGTTAAGATTATTAGTGGCTGCTCTTTTCTTTTTGTATCTTTTATTTTTGAACAAACTTCATTGATTTCACCATATCATAAGGTACTGTGATTAATTCGGCTGGAACGAATCAATTGATTCCCTCAGGATACGATGGCAGATCCACCCTTGGAGAACGTATCACTCTCTGGAAACAGCTTAGGCTTGTTTTCACCGTATCATTGCAAAGGAAACACTGAAGATTGTACCCATGTTCAACCAAGGATCCACTTCGGATCTTTGAAAATCGGATGTACTGTATCTAAGATCTAGCAAAGCTCAACCACACATCCCGACCTTAGACTTCAATGGAAACATTTAACCTAATAAATCAATGAACCACCACAATTTCTGACTGAATGCATCCGTGCAATAATCTTGCAAAGAATCCTGAAATCAATTCAGATTTAAGTTTTAAAGTAACGTTCATTGATTGAGTTTTTCACTTCGAGCTGGATGGAAAATTCTCGGGAAACTTCTGGAAAACTTTGGAATATTCAATAACCTTCTAATTGCTCGGAATGACTCCATAGTATCTTACACGGGCGACATCTACGAGTAAAACTCAGAGATTCAACGGTACCGGATGGTTGCTGTGCATCCTATACACTTATACAGTATAGGATTCTAGGATCTAGGGCATTGCCGACTTCGCTTTTCTCCAAGATTGAAACAGCAAATTCAATGTTATTAAAAACAAACGAGAAATACGATCTCAATTGCATTCTACAAGGAACATCTGGCTCGTCGTAGAACAATCCACGCAGGGACAGTCGTTTCCAATCCCGGCGATATGAGTGGTGGCAGTCCAACAATAAGACATCTGGGGAAAACAGGGAAACTCCCAACACCTACCCGGGCCTAACATCCGATAAGGATCGACCATCCTTGGAAGAAAACACGATTTTCAACCTCTGACT